GGCAGAGGTTGCAGTGAGCAGAGATAGCACCACTGCACTTCAGCTTGGGTGACAGAGCGAGACTCTGTCTCAAAATAAATAAATAAATAAATATTTTAGGTTTGCTGAAGACTAATGTTTGTGTCCCACCCCCTAATCCCCATTCATATGTTGAAACCTAGTTCCTAATGTAACAGTATTTGGAGGTGAAACCTTTCAGAGGTAATTCGGTCATGAGTACTCTGCCCTCATGAAAGGGATGAGTACCCTCATGAAAGACACCCAGAAAACGTGATTGCCTCTTCTACCACGTGAGGACACAGTCTGAAAGGGCTGTTCATGGACCAAGAAATGGTTCCTTCCTCACCAGACACCAAATCTGCCAGCACCTTTTTTATCTCCAGCACTTTGGTCCTGGAAGCTGAGCACTTCTCATCCTCCAGTACTGTGTGAAATAAGTTTCTATTGTTTCTTAGCCACCAATCTATGGTAGCTTTTTATAGCAGTCAAAACAGACTAAGTCAAGATCTTAACCTTAGTAGCCCAGGTTTGCTTTATTGTTGAAGATTTATAAAATAATAGCCCTGAAACGTTAAGTACTCTTAGCAAATATTGATTTTGTTGATTTGTAGTATATTTAGGCATACTCATCTCCTGGAAGAATTAGGGAAAAAAAATGGCAAGAAATGAAAAAAAAAAAAAAAGTGAGGCACCTATGCTACGAAAGTATACATAGACAGTAACTCAGTTCAACAGAATTTAGAAACTTTCTCATTTGGAAAGAACTTGTAATCACAATTTAAAATATTTCAATGATAAAATACTATGTAATCCGATAAAATAATGAGATATAAATGGAGAAAGGGATAGTTCACAAAACAATTATTCTTGTCTGTGGTTTCTTTCTGGCATGAGGGTAAGAGGGAGAGTATTAAGGTCACAAGAATTACAGTAGTCTCCTCTTTACCATGGGGGACATGTTTCAAGACCCCCCATGAATGCCTGAAATCATAGACGGTACTGATCCCTCTGTAATCTGTGTTTTTTCCTATACATATACACCTATTATAAGGCTTAATTTATAAATTAGACATGGTAAGAGATTAACATCAATAACTAATAATAAAATGGAACAATTATAACAAAATGTTGTGATAAAAGTTATGAGACTGCGGGGTCTCTCTCTCTTTCTCTCAACCTATCTTCTTGTACTATACTCATCTATTTTTGGGACTGTAGTTGACTGAATCCACTGCAGGTAACTGAATCTACAGAATGGGAAACTGTGGATAAAAGAGGACTACTGTGTAAAACCGAGAAACTATTACTAAACAGCAGAGTTCTGAAGCTTTATGTGGCTGATTTTTGTACAACAAATGCTTGATAGTTATTCAGTTTTCCAAAGGCAATTATTTATTTTTGAAACCTTTCAATTAAGCTAGATTATGTTTTCTAAGTTTCCTATTAATTATCATTGGATTGAAAAGAGTTGGTTTATCCTTTCAGGTTAAAAGGAAAGGAGGCATAAAGAAGTATAGTTAACTGGCAATGCATATTATTTGAATTAACCATTGGAAAGCATTTAGATAATTTTACATACAGGAAAGCAATTTAATTCGAATTTTTTTTTCTGCAAACATGAATATACTTTGCTCTTACATTCAGCGCTCATTCATCACCTATTATATGTCAGACCCTGTGCCAGGTGAGTGAGTCATCCTCTTGCTTATAAAGATCTAAGAGTCTATTAAAAGAGATAGATTTTAATAAAATAATCATGGTAGTGAATGTATAATTGTGAACAGGAATTGAATTGAATGAAATGAACATGATGCTAAGACAGCACATAAATAGGATCTTGACTGAAAAGGAAGTTGGGGGAGGTCCAAGTAAGACTTTCCTAAGGACATGGTTTTAACATTATTGAGAAAAACAAAGAATTAACTATCGCTTGGAGGCTTTGATTAGTCAGTTGTATCTTGTTAACTTATAAAGTAGAAACTTTAATAAGCAGGATCCCTTTAAAAGCTGGATTATCAAATCATGTAAATCATTGCAGATACATTAATTTTTCAGCAACATTTGCTATAGAAATGTCTACAAAGTGGCTTTATTTTATTCTGAGGGTTAATAATTATAAAGCTTTGTTACAATCACTTTTTCCAGCTATATTAGGATTTTTTCTCATCATTCAATTGTAGTTTAGTTCTTTTTGTGTGCTTTAAGTAGCAGAAATGCTATCTTCAGAGCTGGTTTTGGAACAGGCAACTGACTTTAGGCTGTGTGTCTTAGGTTACAAAAGCATCACTCCTGTGGTTTAGACTGATATTGTTCAATACGTTAGCCACTAACTACATGTAGCCATTTACATTTGAATTAAACTTTTTAAAAAAGTTAAAAATTGTATTCCTTAGTCTCACTAACCACATTTCAACTGCTCAATAGCCACAACTGGCCTGTGGCTTCTGTATTGAATGACACAGAATAAATCCATCACCAACAAAATTTCTATGAGACAGCACTGGTCTAGAGTTCATAAAGTCGAGTGGCATCTGCGATTCACAAGAAAATGAAATTTCCAGTCATGAAATGGCTATATCAAAATCTGTGCTGGTTTGACAGCTGGGAGCAGAGGAATACCGGTGACCAGCCTTACATTGATCCATTTCATGTGAGACTCTTACTCCATTTTTATTAAGAAAAACAACAAATAATAAAATGAAATCCCTGGTGAAAAATCAAAGATCATCTGTCAGTAAAGGAAGCAGAAAAAATATATTGTCTTGTGGCTCATTACACATTGATTGAGTATCATTTTTCTCAAATACATGATTAAGAATGAAGAATCCGCTGGGACAGAATATAATATCTTCTTTATTTTGCCTTGGAAGTTTCTTATTGATTTCCCTCTGGCCTACACAGAAGATATTCACAGGTACTAACGATTTGTCTTTGCCTCCAGCTTCTAGAAAATAGAGCTTGAGGCAGGGATCAAAGTACTTACACCTTATTCAGTATGTGAAAGTCCAGGACCGTGAAGATGAAAAGAGACAAGGTAAAACAAGATGCAAAGTAATATAAAAGCAGTAGTAAGAAGTGCAAGTGCACTTTGTAGAGAGGTAAGGTAGATCATTCAGCAAGTGTTTTCACTTAGACTGTGAGGTTTCTCTGGGAATTTTGCAAGGAGAAGACATACACTGGAGCACTCCATGTAAGGGAGAAATAAAGAGACATTTGTCTTCTCTGTTCTCTCCCATCTCCCTTTTCCCACTAGTTAAGGTTCACATCTTGGGGAGGTGACCCCTTACTGTCAAGTGTTATCAAACAGCATATCACTCCATGTAAGTCTGCAAGTGAAGGCAGTAGGGTGTAGACAATGTATGAAATCTATATAATATGCAGACCTCAAGATTCACCTTGGACTCCAGCCAGATTCAAGAACGTGGCAAGGGCATTAGCAAAGGGGCAGGAGTGTCATCCAGGATAAATGTTGAAGTAAGAAAGCTTAAGATAGTGATTTGGCTGGTTGTATCTTCAAGGATTGAGCATAACTACAATAAGGGGAATGAATTTTTTGATGATATAATCTTCAACGGGCTGGAAATTTTTAGGAAGAATAGAAGGAGAATGTTCTGGAAATGTCATGATGAAGAAAAGGTTTTAAATGGAGAGAAAACACAACTACCACTTGAAAGAATCACAGAGAAAGCAGCATCCTCAGGGAGGAGCCTTTTTTTGTGTTAAGATAAGCAGGGGAATGAAAACTTAGCAAGAGGTTAAACTTAAAGGGTAAGTCAATGATGACTGACTCAAGCTTCAGAGAACAGAACAGGGTTTGATGGATTGGGAAGTGTGTAAGCCTGGGTTAGAGTGGGAGAGGTACTCAGTTTCATGAGAGTGAGTGTTTAGATAACACTTAGGGAGGACGTGGGGATTGGGGTGCCTTGTGGTGACTGACAAAAAGAAGGATTTGAGTCTTGAACGGATTGATAGTGTCCGTGGCATATTGTGGGGTGGGGCAGTAAGTGTTGGGGCAAGTAGAATGGGAGGGTCTTGCAGCACCATGCACAGCCCTGTGTGTCCATTCCTCAGCCAGGCCCAAAGCCTGGCATTTGTGAGCAATGGCACCAGGAGCACATGGGGCTAAGAAAGCATTGTCTCCCCAACACATAGTTCTTCTAATAGCATAATTGAGACATCAGAGAAGTCTGTCTGTAGGCTCTGAGAGGGGCAATAGTGGGAGGGATGTGGGTGCACTATATGCTAATGTATATTTTCAACAATATTAACATTTATGTGTATCACAGTTGAGAAATATTTACCACTGAGATATATGCTGCTATATTACAGAAAATAGCAATTCTTTCAGCAAAAACAAAGAACCATCTAAAAGTCCTGCTATAACCACTTTCGGATTGATCATCCAAATTGTGAGGCAAGGATCCTGGTAATTTAATCACTCCTGGATGAATGAGAATGCAGAAGTTATCAGCTTCTTTTATGGGGGGGTGGGAGGGCAGTGGAGGGACTAACATAGAAATCCCCAAATGGTATATTATACAAGGAACAGAGATTTTAAATAGAAAGAAATGTATATTTATTTTTCTGGTATGAATTCTCATGCATTCATTATAATATCTCTAAACATCATATCGGAATTTGGCATACCAAAATATTTAAGTCAAATATAGTTACCAGAAAATATTTTTTCTCATATTTTCCACTTCTTTGACTTTTCATAAAAATGTTTACAGAGAAAAGCACATTCTTTAGAGAAAGTCGTTACAGAATGCATGGAGTATTATTATTACATAAGTGTTCAATATTTCCATTTGTGCTAATCAAAATGCACGGAACATAAGCTACAATCCTCCGAAAATTGCTAAGACCTTACAACACGGATAGATATTAATACTCTTTGTAGAAATGGAAGAAAATTATGTTTAGCCCAAGTGACTTTATATCCCTTCCTAGGTACATTAAGCCTCTTTTTAAATAAAAACTATGTTTAGCCCAAGTACCTTTATATTCCGTCCTGGATATGTGACTATTTTCTTCATTTAATCTGCAACATTCAGGTTCTGTTTAGGCAGCTGAAACACCTATTGTCCAAGAATTAAAGAAAACATAAAATAAAATTGCCATCAAACCCTTTTGCTAATATAAAATTTCTGAACAAAGACCTGAAAGGATATATTCTTATGTGGCAAACAGATTTAAAGTCTGCTTTAACAATCTAGAAAACAGAGAACAAATGTAGAGAAATCACAGGATGCATGTTAACTGCAAGCTACTGGTTCCCACAGAGAGAGACCAGAATTACAAGCAGGTAAGGTGCAGTAGAGTATGGGACAAAGATCTAGGAATGTTTATAGAAAATTCCTCTCCCTTGAAACCAGAAGTATTAAAAAAACATTTTCTTCTAATAATTAAATGTATTACTCAAGCAAGTAACATGATACAACTAAAGAGTGTGCTGACCAGTTGTAAATACATCATCATACAAATACGCTAGTGGGTTTGGTTTTTATTTCATTTGTTGAAAAAATGTTAAAAATCAGAGAAAAGGTAAGTAAATATCACACACATACCTGCATCCACTACCCAGGATGATAAATACTAACTTTATCTCATATTGGCTTCTGACATGTTTTCATAAAATAAATGAAGTTATCATGAATCAACTTCATCCCCTTTTCTCCCCATGATCATTCTACTTCTTGACTATCCAGAGGCAACTACCATCACAACTGTGTGTGTTTAATCAGTTTATGCTTTTACACTTTATTTCATATATATGTAGTCACTATCAAAACATTACATATTTCAAATTTCCATAAATGATATCATGTGGAATCATTTACAATATGCTTTTTAAATTCAACATTATATTTCTGAGATCCATTGATGTTGATAAATGTCAATTGTGACAATATACCACATTTTATTTATCCATTTCTCTTTTGATATCATTTGTTTCTGATATTTCATTACTACAAATTATTCTACAATATGCAACTTTATATATATCGTTATGAAATGTGCAGGACTTTTTCTAGGATATATGCTTATGAGTAGAATTGCTGAGTCACAGGTAGGAGTATCTTCAGTTTCATGCTAGATTGTCAGATTATAAATTGGTCCTTAGTCTGTACTCTTTCCCCAGTATACAAGAGTTTTTATTTATCCACATTCTAAATTATATTTGGCAAGGTCAAACTTTAAAATTTTTTTCCACTCTTATTTGTGTAAAATAATACAGCATTTTAAACTAACGTTTTATTTTCTCAGTTATGAGATTGAGCATAATTTTAATTTTTTTTAAACATTCAAGTTTGCGCATCTCTGAATTGCTTTCCATGTAGATGGTACACTTGTTTACTAGATTGATTATTCATTTTTTCTTGTTCACTTTAATAATTCTTTTTACCATTGTACCTCCCTAGTTTTAGTTACACATGTTTAAAAAAATCTTATACCTTTAGGTTTTATGTATCTAATTGATCTATGTTTTCTTCATGACTTTTTTGTCTTACGAAATTATTTGCTTCCACATTGTAAGGAAAATAGTCAGTTACATATTCCTCTAAAAATTTTAAACTTTTACTTTTCAATCTATGGCCTTGGATCCAGCAGGATTATTGTGGAGGGTAAAGTTCATGACAGAGAATCTCATTGCATTCTTATCATATGTAGAGCCAGTTGACCCAGCACCAATTACTGCAGTGCTCACCTTTTCATGATTAATTTGTATGTTGCCTCTATCAGACATTGCATTTCCTTGTGGCTATGGGTCTCTTTTTAAATTCTTTTTATTGACTCCTGTCCCAATTAAATATTGTTTAATACTGTGGCTTTAAATGTGGTAGGTAATGAGCCAAGTCTTTCTTCTCTGTTTTCCTGCTTTTCAAATTCAACTTAGAATATAAAGAAATACCTGAGGCTGGGTAAGTCATAAATATTATAAAAGAAGTTTATTTGGCTCTTGGTTCAGCAGGCTGTACAAGGGACATGCCACTAACATCAGCTTCAGGTGAAGGCCTCAGAGAGCTTCCCGTCATGGTGGAAGGGGAATGGGAGCTATCATGTCACGTGGCAGAAGAAGGAAAAGAGAGAGAAGGAGCTGCCAGGCTCTTTGAACAATCAGACCTCAGGGTAACTAATAGAGCGAGAGCTGATTCATTACCTCCAGGAAGGCACCAAGTCTTTTACAAGGGATCCAGCCCCTTGCCCCAATACCTCCCACCACAGCTCACCTCGATCATAGGTGATCAAATTTCAACATGAGACTTGGAGGAGACAAATACCCAAACTGTATCAGTTGGTGAATAATTTTCTTCTCTCATAATATCTGTACCTGGTTTTTCTATTATGGTTATATTGATCTTGAAAAATAATTTGAATAGTTTTTATTTTTTAATTTTTAGAACAATCTTTATTAGGTAGTGATCACGTATATATAGACTATTCGATCTTCTAGCCTTGATCTCTTTTCTTTTTCTGTGGATAGAACAAGAAGGGGGAATAGGAATGAATACATTTTCTAATGGTTATTAGTCTCTTCAAGTTTTCTATGTTTTATTCATTTTATAATGTAAATATTTTCAAAAAGTTCTCTTGGGCATTAATTTTATTGTATTATTCCTTGTAAGTTTTAAATCACCATAAATCTAAAAATACTCTACTTTTTCATTTTCTAGTATTGGTTATTTGAGCTTCATCTTTTCTTCAGTTTCCTTGATTAAAATGTTCTTTTATTTTTCTTTTCTAAAAATACAGATTTTGATTTTCATATCTTCTCTTTTATTTTAATGTGTGCTGCCTTATTTTTCTCTTACCTTTGTAATTTGTTTCTCCTTCTTTCTTGGCTACATTGCATGCTTTGTATGTATTTTGAATATATATTCTATTTATCAGATATAATTGAGTTATTTATTGGATATATTTCATTTTTCACCTTCACTTAGCTTTTTAACATTACCATATAGCTTCTTTATGCTAATTTTTCTCTTCTTTTTCTAATTTATAAATGTACAGCAATAAATGTTCTAACCATATTCTATACATTTTGATGTGTAGAATACATTTTGATAGGTAATTTTTTGCAACTATTCACTTTTAAACACTTTGGTATTTCCATTGTGATTTCCTCTTCAAACTGAAGGTTATTTATACAATGTTTGTGTGCATACGTGTATATTTTAATACAAATAGGTAATTTTGTTATTGACACCATTTCTCTGTGATCAAATAATGCAAGTATGTTTTTTTGTAATTGAGATTTCCCTGGTGGCTTTTACTGATTGATTTTTAAAATAAGTTTCACATGTGTTGGAAAGAAGGTACAATATTTATTTCTTTAATGTAGAGTTTTATAGTTATATAGAGACAGAAAAACAGAAAATAATGCTGTTGACTACACTGCTTATATTTTCTATGTCCCTGATAATATTTTTCTAAATCAGCTTTTTGGAAAATGTTTTAAAGACCCCACTATAATTATAAATTTGTTCATTTCTTTTGTATAATCCTGTTAATTTTAACTTTATGCATTTAATTTTATATCATTAAAGTATCACAATTTATAATATTTATATGTATATTAGTGAATACCCTTATTATTATAGAGTGTCTTATTCTTGTTAAGGCTTTTACTAAATTCTTTTTAATAATACCACTATTTGCTATTGTTGTGCCTGCTTTTTAAAAATAAGTATTCCTTATTATTCTTTATTTTTTATGTCTTTTATCTCAAATGTTCTGTATTATCTGGCTTTATTTGTGTCTCTTAAGAGCAGCATTTAAAATGAATATTTTAAAATATATTCCTATATATTCTGTTATAACAAATGAGTGTGTTACTGATTTTGACTTATGTCTGGCATGCTATGTTTCCCTTTCTTCCTTATTTTTCCCTGGGTTCTTTTTGTTTTCCTTATCTCTTGCTGTGATGATGCAGTTTCCTGTTTTTCTCTGTTATTCTTTTCATATGTTTTGCTTATATGGATTTATCAACTGTATTTCTGGTTTTTTAGTGGTAACATTAACATTTTAGATACAGAATTACGATGTAATAATTATCTCTAATAATGATTTATCTGAGTTTGCTTTTTCTTTATTATTATCAACATTAGTTTTTTGCTTTTTTATAGGTAAGAGGGAAGGTCAGGGAATCTGAACTGACCTATGTCTCTTAGCAACAAGTAAAACCCACCTTCAGCAAATGAACTTGCTGAAATTCAATATATATCCTAAACTTTAAACTTTTCCAACAAATTTAAAGCATTTAGTTTCTCTTTTCTCCTCTCAAACCATATGCTATTCACATTACTCTATCTAGAATTTTAGTTTTAGGTTTTTTTCAAAAAGAAAGAAAGAAATTCAACAAAAATTGCTTATTTAAATAAAATGTACAAACATATTTGATGTTTGTTTCTCACAATTGCTAACTGCATTTTATGCCTTCCATACAAGTGTACTCTTCTCTTTGCTAAGTAAATGCTTCTGAATTTCTATGAGTAAATAATTTCTTTGCTTGTTTATGTATTAAAAATGTTTTCCTAATGCCCTTACTCTTGAATGATTGTTTATAGGTGTACATAATTGTAGTTTGATAATCTTTTCTTCAGCACGTTGAAGCTATTACTTCATTGTCTTCTGATCTTTACTGCTTCTAAAGGGATATCTGTTCTCATTCTAATATTTAGAAATTTTGTTTTTCTCCCAGAGAGGCTGCATGGTTTTCTCTTTAGCTATTATGTTCTCCATTCTGTTGTTTGTCAAAGTGTTGTTTACTTGTATTCCGCTTAGCTCTTGCTGTGCAGTTTCTAAATGAAGATTCAGGCCTTCAGTCTGGAAATAGTTCTAAATCACTTTATGTCTTTAAATATTGACATTTTCTCTTTTGATAATTTGCTGGGAAAAAAAAATCAAGTCAGACCATTCTTCAAGACTGTCATAACTTTGATGTCGTATTTCCCCTTCCTTCTCTTTCTTTTTCGTTCTGTAGCTCAGTTCCTCAGTGCTCTTTCTAATTCATTAATATTTTCTTCAGCTCTTCTAAACTGATGTTAACCTAATTTACTCAATTTTTTTGGTTTTT